AAAAAAAAAAAAAAAAAAAAAGATCCCAGAGTACTTCACAAACCATAGTGGTGGGCAGAGTTAGTTTCACCCCTGCTCTGGGTCCTGTGTGCTGTCCACTGCTTGAGCTGAGGAGAGATGCACCCAGAATGGACCCTCCACCTCCCGAGTGGGCTGGGAGGAGGAACAGGATCTCTGTTGTCTGAGCCAAATCCCTTTCAAGCCACAATTACCCGGTTTCAATTCTAGTCTCCTTGGTCAGGCATCATGTGTCTTTCCACATCCCTCCTTGTAGCCACAGACTGCGTGGCTGGTGAGGCAGCAGCAAAACAAGTTATCTGGGACTCTGCTGAGGGTTAAAAAGATGTCCAGCATGTATCCTTTGAATCATCCTTTGGATACCTGGACTTAGCCACCAAAGTGTACTAATGTGGAATGCTTGCCCTTGAGAAGGTAGGAGAATGTGTCATCCTGACCCAGATGTGTGCCAGTATATGCTTACACCCGGCTCTCTGAAAATAAACTCCTATCATCATCAGAACTGACATGGCATCACCAATTCAGAGGGGAGCAGAGAGGGGGGCAGCACACCTTTGTCTAGTGTTTGCACCACACAGACGCAGCAGAAATAAATAACCTCAAAACAAGTAAAATATGGCCAAGTATCTCCAAGGTGGTATGTTTGGAGTCATTGGTACCTTTGTTTTAAAATATAATTTATAGCCAGGTGCTGATGGCTCACACCTAAAATCCCAGCTGCTTAGGAGGAAGAGATCAGGAGGATCACTGTTCAAAGCCAGCCTGGGCAAATAGATCACGAGCCCCTATCTCGAAAAACCCATCACAAAAAAAGGGCTGGTGGAGTGGCTCAAGTTGTAGGCCCTTAGTTCAAACCCCAGTACCACAAAAAATTATATATATATATATATAAGTATATATATATTTTTTTTATTTAAAAGTTTGTAAGTTTTTAAACTTAATATAATTTTTAGTAGTGGTTGTGTTTAACAACTGGCTTCCAGAGTTCCTGAAAATGTAGCAGTCATCCCTTGCAAGCCACTATGAGCTAGCATCAGCACACCACTGCTCTTTCTAGTTACCTATTTCCAAAAATATTGTTTGGGAGTGGGGATTAGATGTGAGGTCTAGAGAGCTGTGAGAAAGGGAGGCCCAACACTGATTCCCTGGCTGGGTAAGAAGTCCTGCATTGGAGTCCAGGTAGCTGTGCCCTATTTATCTAATGGCCCACCAGCCTGATCCACTTGGACCAGAATGTCCAAGAAGCATCCTAACCACAGGAGGGTGCAAACACAAGCTTTTGACTCAGAAGCTTTCTGCAGGTTGCTTGAACATTGTTCATGAGAGAGGCCATGAGAGGTCATTGACTCTTCCCAACTGAAGGTGAACCTTTGGATACACTCTTTTTTTTTTATTGTTTTATTATTCATATGTGCATACAAGGCTTGGGTCATTTCTCCCTGGATACACTCTTTCAGCCCCATATCGCTGGCCCTTGAAATCACTCTTCACAGTGTGATTGCCATGTTCATGTGAGCTTCTGTGTTTGCTGCCATCTCTCCGTCCCTACTGGCAGCTGCAAGAGGGCCCATACCCAGTGCCTGGAGGGCAACCAGCATACAGCAGGCACATGGTGGATATTTATTGAAGGGAAAGGGTCTGAGAAATGGACAGACAAGCAAGAAAACAAGGGGAGGAGCAGGTGGAGTGGCTTATGTGCTAGCAAGCGTGAGTTCAAATCCCAGTACCAACAAAAAACAAAACAAGGGGAGGACTGGGGAGTGTAGCTTAACATTAGAGTATGTGCTTAGCATGCACAAGATCCTGGGTTCAAGCCCCAACACCAAAAAACAAAGGAGAAGGAGAGGAAATAGCCAAGAGTTTATATAACTTGTTTGAGTTTCTTCATTCAAGAGGAATAAGCCATTGAAATATACTGGGTACCTTTGATCCTTCAGCTAGAAGGATATATCAGTGAGGAACTAGTGACAGTGAACTGATTTAAAATCAGGTTTGAGTTAGGTGTCAGTGGCTCACACCTATAATCCTAGCTACTTGAGAGGCTGAGATCAGGAGGATCCTGGTTTGAGGCCAGCCCAGGCAAATAGTTCATTAGACCCCCATCTCAAAAATAACCAGAGCAAAATGGACTGAAGGTGTGGATCAAGTGGTATATAGTGCCTACTTTGCAAGTATGAAGGTCTGAGTTCAAACTCCAGTCCCACCAAAAATAAATAAGTTAAATAATTAAATAAGTAAATAAATAAAATCAGGCTTGAACAGTAAGAGAAGTCTGTTAGCCCACGTGAAAAGAAGCCTCAAGGTAGGGTGGCTGCAGGTTGGTATAAGCTCAGCCCTCTGACCAGGATCCTCACAGTTGCCAGCAGCTGGAAGCATCACCTGGATACAGCAATGTCCTGCAAAAAGGATACCCATTAATATCTGTGTGGCTCTTTTTAGGAGTAAGGCAGACTTTCCCAGAGCCACATGCTAACTCATGCAGGCCTAACAAGGGAACTGAAATGACCAGCGGTGCTCAAAGTTTGGTGCCTAGGCTGGCAGCATCAGTCTTACTTGAGAGCTTGTTAGAAACTCAGTGGGGACTGGGCATAAAGGCTCAGGTTTGGAATCCCAGTACTTGGCACTTTTCTGCAGTCAAGATTAAGAATTGTGGCTAAGCAGGGCATGGCGGTACCTCCCTAAAATCCCAGCACTTGGGAGGCTGAGGTAGGAGAATAACCAGTTTGAGGCCAACCTGACCTACAAAGTGAGACCCTGTCTCAGAAACATACACACACAGTAAGATACAATAAGCATGGCTAATCATGACCCATTGTTTCCCAGCTTCATACCCCATGTTGCCCAGACTGATCTCAACTTTCTGGGCTCAAGTGATCCTCCTGCCTCAGCCTCCTGAGTAGCTCATCGTGACCTACTTTTAGGGTGTAAACCCCTAACTTAGAAGGGCTCTACTGAGAGGGAGTGGGAGGCTGATGGGGCACTGGTAGTGGGATTGAGCGATCTGAGATTTGAGCTGAAGATGAGAGATTTGCATCTACTGCCATTAACCAGGACCACAAAGTAGACAAAGCTTACATCCTGTGATAAGAAGCAGAGGAGCCCAGGCAGCCTGACTGGTCTTGTACTTGATCCCTCTCCTCCTCTGCCTTCTCCCCTTCCTTCCAGTTACCAGAGATTCACTGACTGTTACAAACACTTCTACCAGTTGCAGCCTGAGATGACACAGAGGATATATGACAAGTTTATAAGTCAGTTGCAGACATCTGTCCGGGTGAGTAGCTTAGGTGTTTATCTCCAGATCGTCAGTCCCCCGAGGGCTGAGGTCCCGTACTCTGGCCCTGTCTCCTCAGCCCCTAGAACTGTCTTCCATGCCCGGTAGGCTGCAGTGCCATTATCCCTCCCATCCTAACAGCGTGATTATCTTAAATGCCCTTCTCTCATTGTCCTGTATTGTAATTATGTGTTTATATGTTGTCTGCCCCACTAGACCATGTGAGTTCAGCAAGGGCAAGACAGAGCCTTACTCTCATCTTTGTACCTCCAATTCCTGGGACAGTGCCTGGCACAGAAGAGGCATTTAAGAAAGTGAATGCAACTGGGATACAAAAAAGGCCACGAAGCCTGAGGATCCTGGGTTCCATCCCCAGCACGGGAAAAAAAAAGAAAAAAAAGGACATGACTTCTCATGTCTTTAAGTAACTGTGATGTCTCTAGAGTCAGATCCTGGACTGTCACTCCAGGATGGTTCTGTTAAGCATCCCAATGTGTGGAATCATCACAGGGTGCTATGGGCATGAGGCAAGAAGAAGGCTCTTGTTTCTAGAGATGACAAGCAGGGGGAGAGGCTGGCTGCAGGTTCTTTTTGTTTTTGTTTTTTTGTTGGTACTAGGGGTTGAACTCAGAACCTTATCCTTGCTAGGCAAGTGCTCTGCCACTTGAGCCACTCCACCATCCCTGAAGGCTCTTTTTAAATGTTTGCTGTTTTATATTTTATTTTCTTTGTTATAAGGCCACATGCTATAGAGAATTTGAAATGTTTGGAAAGAGTCAAAGACCCAGAACTGAAATTAGCAGAATCTTAAGAGCTGCTAGCAGTTGAGCATATTTCCGCTATGGGCTTATCTAGTGTCATGACCAGTCTTTCCTCCTTTCACTTTAGGAAGAAATCTCAGAAATCAAAGAGGAAGGGAACCTAGAAGCTGTCTTGAATTCCTTGGATAAAATTGTGGAAGAAGGCAAAGACCACAAGGAACCAGCCTGGTGAGATGAGGGCAGGGAGCAGTGAAGGCTAACAGAAAGAGGCAGTGCTTTAGCTTCTTGGAGACTCGAGATGCTGGGCTCATGGCCCCTGAGAAAGGACCCTTTGAGCCAGGTGTGATGGTTCATGCCTGTAATCCCAACACTCAGGAGCCTGAGGCAGGAGGATCGCAGGTTTGAAGCCAGTCTGGGGTACATAGTGACTGTCTCAGAGGGAGAGAGAGGACCCTTTGACATAGACAAATAGGGAAGATAAACACTGTTTAACAGTAACCAGAAACAGTTGAAATCTAGAGCTCTCTGGGACAGAGCCCCAGGGCAGTGTTTTGAGGCCAGACTGAGGAGGCCTTACTGGGGAAGCTCATTTCAGGACCTGCTAGGCCTAGGGGAAAAGGGGGGTCACAGGAAGGAGGCAGAATAGTGAGTTTGGAATCACGTATAGATTAGGTTTGTCAGACATCTGGCTTTGGTTCATTTGTTCATCCAAGAACTATCAAGACTGTTGCAGATGCCAGGGATTCAGCAGTGAACAAGCTACCCTCACGGGCTGACACTGCAGTGAGTGGTGCAGCTACCTACCAGTGACCCCACTAGAGGAGTGGGGCCTGGGGTGAAGAGTGGAGAGCAGAGGCCATCACGACCACAGGAACCTGGGGCTCTGGCCTTCTGTTACCTGCCCCTGCCTCATAAGATCCCAAGGCAGAGGGAGTAAATACATTTTTTGTACTTTTTTTTTTTTAATACTTTGTGACCATTAATTCTTAAAAAAGTAAAGTTTTACAACTGAAAAAGGATTTTTAGACAACTACAATGGCGACTACTCCCTTGCCTTCCTGAGCCCCTCTTTCTTTATCTTCCCATATCTGCCAGCACTTACCATGGCTTCCCAGAGGCTGGGCCCTCTGTCAGGAGCACCCCATCTGGGAGAATTTGTCCTGTCACCACCCCAGCCTCTCAGCTCAGTCTTACAGGTGATACACCAGCAGGGCTAGAAATTCATCTTTAGCCCTAGGGTGTTGGAGATGGGGAGCATGTGTAGGAGACAAGAGAAGGTGCGGTGCTGGGGGAAGAGCTAAGGGAGAGGCTCAGTGAGAAGATCAGGCAGTGAAGCTGAGGTGCAGGAGGCAAACGCTGCCATCAGGAGCAGGTCTTGGGAGGTGAGGAAGCCAGCTCAACTTGGAACTGGAGGTAGGAATGTCACGGATTGGGTTTGGAAGTAGAACCCTCCCACAGTGCGTTCCTTCCTCCCTAACTCCTGGGTCCCATGTGACCCTCCAGGCGCCCCAGCGGAATCCCAGAGAAAGACCTGTGCAGTGCCATGGCACCTTACTTCCTTCAGCAACGCGACACTCTGCGGCGCCATGTGCAGAAACAGGAGGCCAAGAACAAGGAGCTGGCTGATGCCGTTCTGGCGGGGCGCAGGCAGGTGGAGGAGCTGCAGCAGCAGGTCCAGGCCCGGCAGCAGGCCTGGCAGGCAAGTGTCTGTTCCTGCCTGCTTTCCCTTTGGTCTCTGATAGGCCACCAGGGATCCTGTAGGGAGTAGGCTAGTACAGTCCTATCATGGTAGTAGTTGTACTCATCACCTTTGCTTGACATACACAGTAGACTTCAGCAGATAAGGCTGCCTGGATCCTCTCCCTCTGCCAGCCTGCTTTTCCCGAAGTCCAGCCATAGCACATGTCCTCTGCTTCAGCCACTGAGGAAATGGGCCCAAGGAGGGCAAGGGGCTTGTCTAAGTGGCATGTCAGAACGCACATGACCAGGACCTTTAAAATGTGCACATCAGAATGACTTGTAGAGCCGTCACTACGTCCAAGACATTCTCCAGCGGCAAGTGTGTCCTCTGAGGGTAAACTTAATTTCTGAACATGGCCCAAGTGACTTCTGGTGGATAAAGGGGACGGATGATCCAGCTGGAGGCACAGGTAGCAGGTGTGGCTGGGGTGATGTCTTACTGGCTCGAAATGCAGTTCCAACAGGAGTTTCAGAAGGGCTCAAGTAGTAAGACCCCTGCTGAATTATCTCTGTCCATCATCTAGACCACTGGACGGCCACTTTCCTGGGCAGACCTTCCTGTTCCCAAGGAGAACAAGTCTATAAATCCATGATTCCCAGATTCTTCCTGGTCTTTTTTTCCCAAGACCAGTTAGCTGCAACGAGATACCCTGGCTTTCCCAACAGCTGCAAGGCTTGGAGAGGTGGCAGCAGGTGGAAGACTGGTTGTCCCAATCCCTCAGGTCTCCCAGTGTCACAGGCTGGTCCTGAGGGACTGGAGAGCAGCCACAAAGGTAGTAGTAACTAAGGCCCCTCAGCCTTGTGTTGTGTCTCTTTTTTTGGTGGAATTGGGGTTTGAATTCAGGGCTTCATGCTTGCAAAGCAGGTGCTCTACTGCTTAAGCTACACCTCCAACCCCTTGTCTGTCTCTTCAGGCAAGTTGTACAATTCAGGGTTGTGTCTTGGGCACTCTCAGGGTCACTCTGCTGAGCCCTCAGGCAGGGTGCCCTGCCTTTGCATTCTATCACTATCAGGCCTGGGCACTCCTCTCTGGTTCCTGGCTTCCAAATTCCTAATAATGCTCCCAGAACCCCGCCAGCTCTGATGTTCAGTGCTTCTATCTTAAGAGGGGCATGAAGACCCTGTGCCTGAAACCCCACCTCATCCATCCCAGCTGCAGATCCCAACTATGTTTGAAGTGGCCATCTGAGCCCTGGGTGGAGCTTCCAAAAGTTATTTTTCTCCACTATTTCCATGTCTGTGCTCAACTGAAAGTTCATTTAGGGCTGGAGGTACAGCTTAGTTGGGAGAGCACTTGCCTAAAGGTGGGAGATTTCCTAGAAAGTTCTGGTGAGGTCAGATGATCTGGGTGCCATTTTGGGGGTTCTTGTTGAAAATAGGCTCTAAGTCTGGTTCAGTGGCTCATGCCTGTAGTCCCAGCTCCTGGGAAGACAGATTGGGAGGATCGTGATTGGAGACCAGCCTGGGCCCTATCTTAACAAGTAGCTGGTGGTACTTGCATATCATCCCAGTGACAGCGGGAAGTGCAAATACAGTCACAGTCTAGCTTAGTCCAGGCATTAACCCTATCTCAAAAATAACTACAGCAAAAAGGGCTGAGAATGTGGCTCAAGAGGTAGGGTGCCTGCCTAGCAAGCACAAGGCCTAGTTCAAACCCTAGTTACTGCCAAAAAAAAAAAAAGAAAAGAAAATGGGTTGTACTTTGGGGAGACCCAGCCTAGGCGGCCATGGTACACAGCCTGCTGAGTGGTGGGAACTCCTCAGTGTGCCTTTGTCTTGACATGCCCTGCTGGGTCAGTGACATGAGCACAGACCCCATCCACCTTGTCCTGGGGAAAACCCAGGCCTGGAATGAAGAACAAAGGAGACAGAGGGTTTGGTTTCCTCATGCGCTTATTTGTCTGTTCTCTTTGTTGGTTTTAGGCTCTACACAAAGAGCAGAAGGAGCTGCTAGAAGTCCTGGGGGGCCTGAGTGAGGAGACGGCCCAGCCCCAGAGCACAGGGCAGTTGAGGTCGAGGCCCTGTGGTTGGCACACTGGGCCTGGACAGGCTGGCTATGAGAACAGCTGAAATGGTGCCAATCCCCAGGAAGTGGCACCTGCCACTGCCACTGAACCTGTGGCTCCCATGGGTCACGCTCTCATACCATCTTTAGCTTTCTCCCATTTTCTTCTACCTGGAGGCTGGCCAGCTCCCATTCTGGGGACCAGGCACCAGGCTTTTTCTCCTCTAGGTGGGTCCAGTGCTGCCCCCATGCTATCCTGCTGGCTCCTGAGCCCTCTCTGGACTTGGCCTGGAAAATGTGTTTTCAGTCTCCACTGATTGCCCCCTTGCTGGCCAGCCCCGGGGCCCTGCTATGATCTCCAACATCCGTAAATAAACTTCCTCCTCTACACTGTAATCTGTGAGGATGCTTCCTCGCCAGGCGTCTCAGACCAAGACCACTCCTGGGCTCCCAAGCTCTGGCTTGGGCCAAGGCCTCAGCTGCAGTGCACTGGAAGCCTACAAACTGGGGTGGGCTGGAACCCACCAAACTGGGGTTGTATCTGGTCATGTGCAGAGGGCAGCAGAACCCCTTGTCACAGAAACCAGGACCTCTGTGTCCAAGCTGCCAAGGGTGTCACTCTGACCAACCCATCTTACCCTTCTCCTTGCTGTTTGAGTTAACTCAGAAAGCATCTGCAGTGGGCCTTTCTCAGGCCCACTGGTGGGCCCTCCAGCATAGCTGGCACTTTGTTTCACTTCTCCTGCCTCACTTTTCTCCAGCCAAGACCTCCAAAGGCCAAATGGTGCTTCCCAGACCAGATGGGAAGGGGATGGGCTCAGGTTGGGCAAAAAGATTTTCTCTGGGGCTGGTGGAGTGGTTCAAGTGATAAGAGTACTGCCTAGCAAGATGAGACCCTGAGTTCAAACTCCATTACAGAAAAAAAAAAAAAAGTTTTCCATGGTGAGGGCCTCACCCTAGCCCCATAAACAGAGGATTTTTTTTATCTTTCTGAGGAGCCCTGGAGACAGGAAGATAGCACAGTGGCCCTTGCTCACTATCCCCATAAACTGAACCTAGGCTCGGTCTCCCTCTGGCTGCCTCTTCACCATGAAGCTGCCATGTTAAGGCATCCAGATGCCTCCCTTCTGCCCAGCCGGCCCCACCCAGTGCTTCATTTGTCTGTTAGGTTGGGCAGACAGTCTGAGCCTTGGTCAGTGGGTGGGTGAGCAAGGACCCAGTTCAGATGGGAAGGTTCCAGCACTCCCTTCCTCTCCTCCCCAGGCTGGCCCAAGGCAGTGATGGCTCTCAGGTATGGGATGGGGTGTTTTAGGCTGGGGAGTTCTGTTGGAAGACAATCTTTCCCATCACCTTTGGGAGGAGTGTGAGAGACGGGTCCTTCCCATGGCTGTTAGCACTGGGAGTCTGCATTGGCAGATGAATGGTGGGGTCAGGAGCCCAGAGGTGGCTCCATCTCCCTGTCCTGCTTCCCCACAGAAGTGCTTCACCTCCCTGTCCTGTGCCCCTGCTCCCTGGCACTTGTAGCCACCTGGCCTTCCCCAGAGATGCTGTCCTCATCCCGTGCCCAGCCCCACATGTGTGGTTTATGACTCTTGGTTCTGTGCTGCCCCAGCCCCTTCTCCCCTTCCTAATGCACAGGGGTGTGGCAGTGGGGAGGCGCACACCGCCTGCCTTTGATGGCTCACTGGGTGAGTGAGGGCATTGCCTGCTGGCCTAGCCTCCCTCCCTGAGGTTTGGCTCCTGCTCCCCTCCCACCCTCCTGCCCCCTGGCCAGATGGTGCAAATCACAGGCTGTGAGAGCTGGAGACCAGTTCTGCTGAGGCTATTTTAGACCTCTGCGCCCCCTTCCTCTTTTGGCTCCCCCTGGGACCCAGCCAGTGCTCAAACTGACACTGCAGGTCTCCAGGAAGACAGTAGAGGCTAGGGGACATGGAGCAGCCCCCAGGGAAGAGGCCAGGGTGGTGTCAGAGTCTGGCAAGCTCCGATTGTAGCCCACACTCCTTCACCCGGGGCCCTACCCAGGCAGCCACAGCCCCCAACCACAACTTCCTTTGGGTTTAGCCAACAGACCTAGGGCAGATGACCCCCAATTAGTACTGGCAGCTTCCCCTGCCCCACCCTCCTGCACCTCAGGGACAGCCCAGCGTGTATAAACAGTGGTGGCTGCTGGAAGGGACAGCCCAGCTGAGTCCTGAACAGCAGCCCTGTGCAGCTGACAGACACCATGAGGGCCCTCATTCTGCTTGCCCTACTGGCCCTGGCCACACTCTGCCTCACTGGCTGGACAGGTGAGTATCACCAATCCCACTCAGATCTTCTCCAATGGGGCTACAAGAGGAGCATGCCATGTCTCCAACTCTTACCCTTTCCTTCTGCAATCCAGCCATCTTCCTGCAGGCTCAATCCTTTTGTCCCCAGTTCTGTCCTTGTGGAGGGACAGAGGGCAGAGCATGCTGCCAGAAGCAGGGGCAGAAGGTTGAGGCCCTAAGAAAGGACAGGGGTGAACTGGTTCCTTCCTCTTTGCAGATGCGAAGCCCAGCGGTGCAGAGTCCGGCAAAGGTTCAGGTAGGAGGCCGGGTCTGATTGTCTCCCAGGCTGCCCCTCACCATGCTCCCCTCAGCAACATCCCCCACTCTGGCTCCCTCCTGTCTGGCTGTCAAAAAAGCCACCCAGCTTCTCCCAAACTGGGAGCCACCTGATCCCCACCCCTCTGCTCCACAGCCTTTACATCCAAGCAGGAGGGCAGCGAGATGGTGAAGAGACTCAAGCGCTACCTGGACCATGGCCTGGGGTGAGAAGAAAGGAGGGGCTGGGCCAGGGTCCCCTGTCTCCAGGATGTGCTGGAGAAGAGTTGTGGTGGGGTGCTGGGGTGAGGGATGGAGCAGGATACCCCACCCCCAAGTCCCTTGTGCAGTAGGAATTGGGGGTGGACACTTTGTCTGGGGACTGATGCCATTGTGTGGGTCTTCTCAGAGCTCCAGCCCCCTACCCAGATCCCCTGGAGCCCAGGAGGGAAGTGTGTGAGCTCAACCCCAACTGTGACGAGCTGGCTGACCACATTGGCTTCCAGGAGGCCTATCAACGCTTCTATGGCACGGCCTAGGGCGTCTCCATGCGGCACAGCTCTAGCTCTGGCTCCTCGCAGGCCCTTCCCTCCCTGTCCCCACTCTGCCCTGTGAGTATGAGCACCCCAGCTGCTCCAAAATAAAGTCCAGAGGAGGAATTGGTGGGCCTGTGAGTCTGTTCAGTCTGTGGAGTGGTGACGGGGTCGAGAGGCTGTTTCACCTTCAGTCCCAGAAAACGCTACCCAAAGTCCAGTTTACTTATTTATTGTACCTGTTTTGTCCCAGAAAGCATTGGAGGTGGCCTCCTAAAGTCTAATCAGGGATCCCCCCAGCCTAAGACCCCTCACTTCAATCCACTACACCACCCAGGACAACCCAAACAGACTGGCCCAAAGGCCTGGACACCCTGAGCACACAGTGTGACTGGGACAAACTCATTTCTGTAGGCACAAAGCTGCTTGCAAACTGGGCAGGATCTGACCTTGCTGGGTGGGAGCAAATGTGTCTCTCCAGCCTATTAAGAAGCATTCAGGGTGGCCTGGGTTAGTAGCGTCAGTTCTCCCCTGGGCTGAGCAGATGTCAGGAGCCAGAATGGGGCCAGATAAAGAGCCCCCAGCATCTTTTTCACCCCTCCCTCCAACAGGCAGGGCAGCTCCAGCCTGGGCACACAGACATCTCCCCTTACAGACCCTCAGCACTTTCCCTACTCCCATCAAGAGCACCTCGGGTCCCACTCTCTCTCTGCCAATCCCACAGACAGCTCCCCTCTCCTCTACCCTCTCTCTCTCTGTCTCTCCTCAGCCACTTTTGGTTCCAGGCTCAGAAGTGCCCCCTCTTTTTCAGGCCTGGCTCTGGGTCCTCCCCAGCACTGGGGCCTGGCCTCCACCTCCAAACTAGGGTCAGGGTCTCACTGTTGTTTGTCCTGGAGTCCCCCTTCTGGTGGACCACCCTGTAGCAGAGGGCATGTACCAGGGGCCCGAAGCAGGAAGGCTGTGAAAGCAGCAATGATGAGCAGGTTTCCGGTCACTGCCAGGCCCAAAGTGACCACTGTGCCCTCCAGGCCCAGGGGGGGCTCCTGTGCTGCCAGCCAGGCTCGGCGGGATCCCATATCTGCTAGCACAGCCTCTAGCTGGAAGTGGGTGCCCAGCACTGCACAGATGTGGAAGAGCTGGTGGCTGTGGCCTAGAGGGAGCGTAGGGGCAGGTCAGGTCAATACCCATTCCCAAGACTGCCCTGACCTGACCTATAACCCAGGACAAGTCACCCATCTGGGCCTTCCACTCCCCTATAAAATACGAACAACTCCCTGAGCTAGTGAGAGGAGCAAACCTGCTGACTGCATAAAGCCCTCAGCACACCTGCTGCTAGTCTGTGGCCTGAGAAGTGAGGTGAAGATGGGCCTTAGGTGGAAAAGGGGGAGGGGGACCCTCCTGTCATTCGCTGGGATACTGCATTTACCCAGCTCCCTCCCTGTGCTTTGGGACGCCACCTCCCCGACCCTTCCAACCCTTCCACGTCAACCAGGCCAGGCTAGGCCAGGCGCGGTGCTCTCACCGATGTAGTCAAAGCGCCCAGGTGCCAGCCGCTCGGGCAGGCGGGAGGCGAAGAGGAAGCCGGTGAGCAGCGCGCAGAGGAGGTGGTAGCCATGGCTGGTGCTCAGCGCCTCCTGCCCACAGTCACGGCCCCTGCCCCAGCACAGCCCGAGCTGGGAAAGGAGAAGCGGGGCTGGTGGGCAGCGTCTTTGGGAGTGAGAACGGCTGGGGGATGGTGGGGCCGAGGAGGCGCCTTACCCGGTAGAAGAGCGGGAGGTTGTCGAACAGGAAGGGATAGGTGAAGGCGGCTGTGCGAAGGGCCTTGCTGAGCCCGGGGCTCTCCAGCTCGGGGAACCTGGGCAGGGAGAAGGGCGGGTTGGTCTCCATGCCTGGTTCCAGTGGGACAAGAAGGGCAAGGGCACCCTGGGCCAAAATTGGTGCCAATGAAGCTTGGCGGCTAAGAAAGCCATTAACCCAATGGCCGCCGCTGTGAAATGGGGACAAAGACTCCTGCCTCTCAGGTGACTGGGAGAGTGTGGGGATGGTGCCAATCACTAACACTGCAAGGGCAGTGGGCCTGTCCTCTCCGGTCCCTCGCCTGGCCTTCCCATGCCCCTGGCGCAGCCTGAGAACCCACCGCGAGTAGCAGGAGAGGCCGGTGCACAGGAAGGAGTTGAGCGCGGCGGCGGGCACGAAGAGCTGGTGCAGGCGACCGTGCAGCCAGGAGGCCGGCATGGAGTAGGCGGCATAGGGGAAGGCGCAGCCTGCGGTGAGGCGGGAGCGAGCTGAGGCCGCGGCGCGCCCCTCCCTCCTCCCGCCCTCGGCCCCGCACCGCCCGCCCGGCTCACCCAGGCTGTAGAGGCTGAGCGCGCCGTAGTCCAGGAAGTAGCAGATGTGCCGCGCGCGGGGCGACATGGAGCTGAAGGTGTGCGCGCAGCACGACGCGAAGGGGTAGAGGCAGGCGGGCAGCAGGAAGACGAGCAGCGGCCAGTGGTACGGCTCGGCGCGGAAGCCCGGGCCCCCCGCCAGCGCCAGGAGGCGCCACACGAAATACCTGCGCGGACATGTGCTCAGGCGCTGCAGCCAGCGGGCCGCCCGGTCCTCTGCCCTTCTGGGGACCCCCTCTGGGCCCTCCTGGGGCCAGATCCTCCCCTCACCAGGTAGGCAGGAAGTGAGTCCAGATGTTGACTGTCTCGTTGGTCATCTGGAAGGAGCTGAGGACACAGTCCAAGGCCGAGCTGGTAGGGCGTCGGTAGCCAGACATGATGCCATCTTCCCAGAACACCTGGGGTGGTGGTGGAGGGAGAAAGAAGGGGAGTCACTGGACTCGGCCATTTGCCCTTCTTTGGAAGCTGGGTTGAAGAGGATGCGCTGCAGATCACAGATGCCCCAAAACACGAAATCCAGTCCCCATTTTAGCCACAGGACCCAATGCACACATAGCATTTAAGAAATAGAAGAGTCAGAGTGAGGGGACCACATAGGACTGGGAAGGGGACTCTGGATGGGGGCGCATTCTGGGCTCCATGGAGGGGATCACAGGCTTGTGTCTCAGAGAACAGAGGATGTCTTACACTGAAATAGAGGGATAAATTAGTTTGCAGGAGGAACTTCCCCAGCAGCTAAAGAGAAGAACCTCTGCCCCGTTCAGTCCTCTGGGGATTGGTGGGCCAAGCCCCTCACCCGGGGCACTTGGTGAACTGGAAGGAGTTGGGGCAGCTTGAGACTGAGCATGGTGGCCGGTCACCTCCACGTTGACCTGGAGACAAGAGTAGGGGAAGATCAGGGATTAACCTCCATCAACAGGCCCTTTCCACCGGTGCAGGCTAGACTTGGTCACTTGAACCCAGGATGAGCTGCCTGCACAGGCAGTGTTTATGCCAGGGGAAGCCGACTCTGCTTCCTCCCAGGCAGTTGAAGCACAGAACCATGCCCTCCCCATGCCGGCCCTGCGGCTTTCTGTCACCCACAGTTTAGGGAGGATGATCCTCATCCCTCGCCCCGCCTTGGCCTCAGGGAGAACCCTGACTCCTGGAGGCCCCTGCAGGGGACTAAGCACCCGCCCCTACCATATTGGCCCATGGTCTTCATGAAGAGCACAGAAAACTCTCGCCCTTAGGGAGGATTCCTGGAGAAGCAGGGTAACAGCCAGAGGAGCAAGGAACAAGGGAGGTGCTGACTCCTCCCAGGTGACTGTATCTGTGCCCTTGGAGGTACTCGGGGTCCCTGCCCCACCTGAGCCCCCTGCCCCTCAACCCAGACCTTTGCGCTGCCTCCGGGTGGCCACGGCTCTGCCTGCCTCTCAGGCAGCCTCTCCTAGCACATTCCTTGGCACCAGTAGAGGGGCTGGGCCACCCAAGAGGAGGGACATCAGGCCACTCCCCCCAGCCTTCCCCAGGCCAAAACTTTCCAGCAATTCCATGACCAGCCCCGCCCTCTTCCTGCTGACAGCCTTTGAGGTCCGCGTCTGCACATGTGGGCACAAGGCAAACCTGGTTCCTAGTTCCTGCACCCTATGCGAATGAGTGAAGGGCTCCCAGGGTGTCCCTTGCCCCTCCCAGGAGAGGGATGGGGAGGTCTCGCCTACTGAGTGCTACCCAGCCACTTGTGGGGGAGAGGCGAGAGGATGCTGGGGTCCATCTCCCCTCAGGGTTCTTGCCCTTGGCAGCAGAGTTTGAAGATCTCTGAGGTGGAGTGAGGTGTGTGCAGGTGTCATGGAAATGGGGAGCTAGGGCAAACACTTTACCTTGATTTCCCCAGGACTTGTCAGAGCCCCAGAAGGTGAGCTTCTTTACCCAGAGCTTGACAGGTGCTCCCCAAGCAGGTGGGTCAGTAGTCTAGGTTCCAAGGGCAGTCCCCAGCTCCTGCCAGCCAGGCTGACAGGGAGCAGAGTGGCTGGGGAGGCCAAGCCAGGCCTGGGCGGGGAGTGGGGAGACAAAAGGGAGCCAGGGAACAATCCTAGCCTTGTCTGGCCTCCAGGGAGCAGTATGGGGTGGCCCAGCCCCATTAGCAGGCAGCTCACTTGGCCTTCAGCACACAGCCAGCCCCTTCCGCATATTCCAACCTCACTGTGCTCAGACTTACTAGAACAGGGTAGTGACCCAAGGCAGGATGCAGCCCCAGTGCTGCAGGGTCCAGTCTCCTCAAACCAGTGAACTGGATTTCGGGTTCTCTCAGGACTTGAGGCTGGCTTGAACCTCAGACTCTACGGGGGCTCCAAATCCTGATTTTTGAAGACAGGACAGAAAACACCTCTCACCCTTCTCTGCTACCTCTTAGCATTGGTGCTTGGGCAGGATTGAGCAAATTGCCTTTGGTAAATGTTTGTTCAGCCACAAAGGATATATGTGCTAAGCTAACTTACCTCCACACACAATTTGAGGTGCTGACCCAAATTGCAAAAGGACAAGTGTTGCCAGGCTGGTTTCAAGCCTCACCCCCAACACTCCCCTAAGGATGACAATCCAGCTGGGAATGACAAACCCGCCCCAGCACTGTCTGGAAAATATTTTGGCTCATCACCCTTGGTAAGGCACCACCACCATCCATGGGGGTCAGTAAATATTGATCATAAAACCACTTCTAATTTTGAGGCTAGCCTGGGCTACACAGCATGACCCTGTCTCAAAAAAGAACAAGGGCTAAAAGCTGGGTGCAGCACTCAGGCCTGAAGTCCCACCTACTCAGAGGCAGAGACTGAGAGGATCTCTGTTAGAGGCCAGCCTGGGCAAAAAGTTAGCAATCAATAAAAGCTGGGTGTGGTGGCACAAGCCTGTCATTCTAGCTTCCAGGTAAGCATAAATACACTCTCCATCCAAGCTGGCATGGCATAAATACGAGACCCTATTTGAAAAATAACTAAAGCAAGAAGGGCTGGGGAAGTGGCTCAAGTAGTAGACCGCCGGCAGGCGCAAGACCGAGTTCTAACCACAGTACTGCAAAAGAAGAAAAAAAGGACTGGGAATGTTGCTCAGTGGTAGAGCAATGGCCTAGAATGCGCAAGGGCCTGAGTTTCATCCTTATCACAGCAAGGAAAAAACAAAAACAGAGTAACAACAAAAATAAAACCACCTCCAGGGCTTTCTCTCCAGTTGCCTGCTTGCTGTCTAGTCCACTTTAAAATGGCCTTTCAGAGTATGAAGCCCTGAGTTTAAACCTCAGTTCCACCAGAAGAATGGCCCTCTGGATATGCACTTCAGCAGCCAACCCCAGTATCCTTCTCCACCCCCACCCCCCAAGCCACAGTGAGGCTTCTATACAGAAGGCACAGCAGACAGGGTGGGCTTAGGGGGTCTTTATTAAAGTGATGCTTGAGTCTCAGTCTCTGCCAGGAACTGGGGCTGGGTGACCCCACTACCCCCAGGTTTTCCCAAAACATGCTGTCTTAAGAGGGAGGCAGGAAGCCGGTTCCTCCAAGCACAGCCTGGGAAGCTAGGCCAGCACTGGGGTGGGGAGGGCAGCAGAATGAAAATCTGCCCCCAACCCCTACTCTGCTTCCAGCCTGAGGGGAGTGGCTGAGGCAGCCCTGGCCAAAGCCTCCCCACACAGCCCTGCTCTCAGAGCACCATTCACTGCCCTGAGCTATTCATGATCTCTGCTCCCACTTCACAACACTCCAAAAGCCCCACCAGGCCTCCAATCCTGGGGACAGGCAAAAGGAGAGAAGCCCATCAGGAAAGAGGACCCCTGACCGAGCAGCTTCCAGGGGCCTCTCTTTTCTGCCTCCCACAGAATGCTGGCCCCTTATCTTTAGCCCTCCGTGGATAGTAAACAGGGGGTGGCCTCAGCCTGCACCCCTCTTCTCTTACTGGCACCCCCTTCCCAGCATAGCAGCCAAGAGCACAAAGCACAGTGACTGTAGGGCTGGTGGGTCAAGGCACCAACACTGACAACACAGGCCAGCCTGCCAGTAGCCTTGGGTGAGGCCTGCTCCCTGCCTTGTAAACTGGACAGAGGCGTACAGAAAACAGAAGTAGGGCATTTGGGTGTGGGACCCCTGCAACAGGGAGCACAAACCCTGCCCCTGCCATGCAGTACAGGCACTCCAGGCCCTGCTTCCAAGTGCCCCCAACAGCTGGCTCCAGAGCGCCCCTGCCAAAGGGAGATGAAAGGAAGATGGGTGGTCCTTGAAAAGGGGAAAGGGCTGTAGAGAATCACCCAGACACCTGGTATAGCCCAACTCCCCCAGCGTCTGGAGAGTCCAAACTCCTGGCCCCAACCACCCTGCATTTTGAGTGAGGATAAAGGGCCCCTTCTGCTATCCCTGCCCATCAGAGGTCCAGGAACCACTCCAGTGAAATGCAGATACCCATGCCTGCCACCTGCCCCTGGGAACAACAGGAGGGCCAAGGCAGGAAGGCTGGCTAGGGCCCAAGGCCTCTCCTGCTCCAACTACTTCCCTCACTTTCCTGACGTCGTCTTGGCAACAGGGGGACCCCACCCTCCCAGCTGGCTCCTGGGCCATCCCTGCAGCCTCTGCGCAGCTGTGCTTCCTTCCTGTGTGCGTGTGTGAGTCTGTGTGTGGTGGGGTGACTACAGGTGGTGGTCCTGGCTGCCAGGGAGAGCAGGAGAGATCTGGAGTCAGCCCCACTGCAGGGCTTGGGGGTCAGTCTCAACCAATCTCCTTCCACTGCTTGTAGAAGTCCAGAACGTTCTTGACATCCACGCTGGCATGGGCAGCAGCCTGCAGGGCTGCCTGTGGCATTGTGGGGGAGAAAGACGGGGAAGGGTTTGACCTCCTGAACTGTGAACAGTTCACCAGGAGGCTGGGAAGGGTGATAAAGAGGAAAGGGCAACTTCTCTGGAGGGGCTGAGGATGGATTCCTCTGGCACCTCATCCCTATAGTCCTACCTGTCTCCACCTCACCCATGACCCACCTGCATGGGCCCAGAAAGTGCACTGGGGTTGTCCAGTGGAAGGCCTGTGATGATGGTCACCATGCCGCTCGGGTCCTCCTCCCCTGCCCCCTGGGCCAGAGTCAGCTGTTTGCAGCTATCCAGGATCTTATAGAGAGTCCTTGGAGGGGAGGTGGGGGAGACCCAGCATTAGCACAACCAGAATGTGAGACTCTCCAAAGGACAGGGGCAGCTGGGGACTGGGAAGGCACCAGGAGTCAACAAGAAGAACCAGGCAGCCAGCAGCAATGGGCCCTGAAAGCTGGTCTTTGAGGACATGCTAGAGGAAGTAGGCAAACTGAGAATGTGGAGACAGAGCACCTGGCCCCATCTGCAGACAGGGAAAGGCTGAGGCTGGGGCATCTCCAGTATGCTCCCAAGGGAAGTGCACAAGCATGCCAGCAAGGCTGGCTCCTAAGAGGCTTGGGGGTGAGGGCTGAAATTTTACCAGGCATCTGTGTCCTGTCTCTTCAGCTTATGTCGCTCAAAGCTCTTTCCCACCTCTTTCTGGCAGCGAATGTACCTGCAAAGGAGATGCAGAGTGAGGTAGGGGCAAGAGATAGGGAGGGCACCTAAAACAAAGCAGGCCATTGTGGCTCTGGTGGCTCAGTTTGCAACAGGGGGTGGGGGAGGCATGTCTTTCCCATCAGGCTGTTTGGAGCCATTATGAAGTGGCTTCCTGGCCGCTGAGTCCAGTTCACTTCTTCTGATAACATCGATTCTCTGGTTCCTCCTGGAGGAGAAGCTAAGAGGGCAGAAGCAGCAGACACTTTTCAAGTCAGGGCTTCTATAGACAAGGGCCAAACAAGCAAGGCCTTGTGTAACTTTCTAGCTAGGCAGGCCAGCCAGCAGGAAGGAGGCGCTCTCTCCCTATTCCCTACAACCCCAAAAGCCAGGAGGGTGGGCCTAAACTGGGCTTAGCCCCTGCACATGCTGCCATCTGTTCCTCACTGGCTATCTGGCCACCCTCTAGCTTAGTAGGGAGAAGAGAAGCCTAATCCCAGTCCCAACCACAGGACAAGAGAGCTCCTATAAAGGAGCCCAAGCCTGGAGTCCAGGGGGAGACCACTCTCTTCTTTCAGTAGATGTTCTTTCAGTAGCTGTCCAGAGGTTTGACACAGAGGCAAAAGGATGGCAACTCAGTGATATCCACAGGGCTCTTGGCGCCTCTGATCACCCTCCATTTCAGCAGCTAGGACCTTGACTTCTAATTATATACTTGGTGGCCTTCCCCAGTGTGCAAATTAAACAGGTACTGAGGTGTGTGCCTTATCTCAGGAAGCAAGGAGCTCATAACTTGTGATGTGCAGACAACAGATCCAGGTCCCACACAAGTCCAGCCAGGCCTGCACTCACCTATTTCCTTTCTTTTTTTGGTGGGGGAAGGCGGGGTGGAGGGTACTAAGTTTGAACTCAGGGCCTCACACTTGCTGGCAGGCACTCTACCACCTGAGCCACTCTACCAACCCTACCTGTTTCCTTTCTTAAACTCTGCTTCCAGGTACCGGATCCCATCCCGGGCCCCTGGGTGTTCTTTCTTCAGCAAATCCAGGCCATCAATCACTGGTGGACAGGGTGGGGCAGGAAGACAAAACACTGAGCTCAGACTGCAGACATGGCTCTGCAGGAAGTATATGTATTCCCACTGCACACACCACAGGAGAAGGGACTACTATGCCCTACAAGGCTCTCAAAAGTTTTTTGAAAACAGTATCTGTCAGCACTGTATTTGGCAATTCACCAAGTGCTTTCACTTAGATTTTCTCATCCATTTCTTTTCACTGCCTTATGCGACAGGGTTTAATGTAGACTATTAATGCCATTTCACAGATGAAGTGACTAGGGTTTAGAAATGGTAGGATGGGTTTAGAGATGGTAGGACTCAACCAAGGTCACTATACAAAGTGGGCCCCCAAATAAGGATTTCTCAATTCCAAGTCCTTCAGCCACACTCTATCTGGTCCCCTATCTAACCAATATGCTTACCTGTCCTTGGGATGATGACAATGAAGCGGCCACTGGTGGCCAGCTGGCGGATGACAGGGAGGTGATGGCAGAGGGCCTGAGTGTCAGGAACGAGGTAGGGAGACATTGCTGACTGGGCCTTGGGCTGCTGCAGGCTGCCCTCCAGCTGAGAGACCTCTAGCTGGTGAGAGAAGGTAAAGTGGGTGGAGCTGCATGGGGTCCCCAGTCTGGGTAGGAGACGTCATCAAGAAAAACCAGGCAGCCAGTGACAAGGTAGCTCAAGATGGCTTTTACAGGGCTATGCCTATTACTAAGGAGGACAGTGCCAATAATCTTGGGGGGGTGGGAAAACAGTGGATAAATTAAAAGTTAGAGTAAAGAAAAAGAAAAGGAAAAGAGACAGAGGAAAGGCAGAAAGAAGACTCTAATCTGGAAGCCAGGAAGATGACCTGGGACAAGCTGAGGGATGGGGTGCCACAAAGCACAGTCTGCAGGTGGAGCAGGGAATATCTGACAGTGGGTTTAAGCAAAAGTTAGACCAAGAGCAGGAGCATTTGGCCAATTTCTTACCTGTAGTCGGAGCTGAGCCATATCTCTCATGAGCCTGTTCCGCCGAGCTTCCTCTTGTGCCTACAAGGAAACTGAAGCTTTGAGGAGGAAGGAGTCTATCCCTCCTCCAAAAACCAGGAAAATCAAGGAGACTTCCTGGTGTCTGAAAGAAGTGTGGCTCACATGAAGTGGTCTGTGACTCCCTGTTACAGGACAGCAAGGGAGGCATGGAAGAGGAAACATTCTTCTGGTGTACTTGACAACCCCTGTGGCCAGCTGCAGGCCATGCCATGCAACGCTCTGGAAGGGAACAGACAGCTGAGCACTGTCACCATGCAGGATACTACCTGATTGTGCCTCAAGACCTGATCTCTGCGCTTTCCAGCCAATTCTCCCCTCTAGGAGCTATCAACCATGGACCCCTCAGCTTCTATCCCCACCCCTTGCCAATGCCTTCCAATATGCAGACTCAGCCAAGACCTGCCCACCCTGAGTCCCATTTGCCCTTCACATCTGCTTCTTTTCCTCCAGTGTGCCCTTGCTTAGGAAGTGAACCACCATCTATCTACCCAGTCAGGAAGCTCACAGTTGGCATGCTTCCTTTTCAAGCCCCAAAGTTACCAGCTGACAAGCCCTGTCAACTGACCACCACACTAACCCTTCCACTTCTCTTCATCTACAGGAAAACCCAAGTCTCAGCCAACATCTCTCACTCTGAGACTGCTCCTATACCCTCTCCTCACTGATTTCTCTAATTCAATCCCCTTTTTTCATCTGCAACCACAGCAATCTTTCAAACTCTGATGTCCATCATGGTCCTGCCTAAAAGTCATGGTTTTCCTGTGTTTTCTGGATGAAGTCCAAATTCCTTAATATCATCTGAACACAGACCGTATTAAGGCCTTTATTCTGGGAGATGTAGGGAGTCACAGAAGCTCTTGGTGAGCCAAGTGCTAGTATCAGATCTTGTTCTGATCATAAGACCACATCTGACAAACCCAAATTTCCTTTCTGAAGAAAATTACAAAATAACAGATGATTCTCTTCAAAAGGGTTAAGGTCATGAAAAATAAGGAAAAACTGAAGAACCATCGCAGATTAGAGAAGATATAACAAGCAAATATAATGCAGGATCCTGTACAGAAATGGAAGGGAAAACCAGAACATGAACAAAACCTAAAGTTAATAGTACTGCACCAACCCCAATTTCTCAGGCTATGGTTATCCAAAACCGACTCCTGCCCCTACAGACTTCTGCACAATAAAGAATTGTCCTTCCCAAAAAGCCAATAGGGTATCCCTTTGGGAACCGCTGGTAGAGGAAAAAAGATGGGAGTAGAAGACCAGAGCCCACGAGGGCCACTTCCTCACAGGCCAGTTGGCAGACTGGAATGAAAGGAGCAATGAGGACAAGCTTCCCCTCTTCTCACTGCAGAAATTGAGCCCAGGAGTTTTTCATGCTAAAATTGTCATTGTGAAACCTTATGTTCCAGCTGGGGATGTGGTTCAAGTGGAAAAGCATCTACCTAGCAAGTTTGAGGCCCTGAGTTCAAACCCCAGGACTTTCAAAACAAAGCAAAACAGCCAGGTACCAACTGCTCATGCCTGTAATTCTAGTCTACTTTATCAGGAGGCAGAGATCAGGAGAATCAGTTTGAAGCCAGCCCAGGCAAACAGTTTCATGAGACCCTATCTCAAAAAACCCCATCACAAAATAGGGCTGGTGGAGTTGCTCAATTTGTAAGAGTGCCTACCTAGCAAGCAACTCATGATGCCATGAGTTAAAAAACCCCAGTGCCACCAAGAAAAAAAAAAGAGTAATATAAATGGGGTGAATTTGATCAAAGTACATTACATATGTGTTGTAAATATATAAGGAAAAGAAGGAAACAACAAAAAAAGAAACCCTCAAGTTTGGAGCTAGAGGTGCAGCTCAGTGTTAAGAGCAGTTGTCTTACATGCATGAGGCCCTGGGTTCCACCCAGCATTGCAAAAATAAATAAACTAAAACCAAATAACCAAAAGGAACTCAGGTTTGTCCAACTACAGAGCCCTGGCTCTACCCTGATTATACTTTGCTAACTTTAGGAATCTTCCTTTGTCCGTTTTTTTCATATATAAAATAAGTATCCAAAGCACTCACCTCACAAGGCTACTGCAAGGGTTAAATGAGGTCACCTGCAAAAGAGGCTGTGCACCCAGAACACTTTCACTGAATGACAGGAGATGGCAATGTGACAATGACATGACAATGCTCCTGGTGGGGGATAGGCTCACTGGGGTAAAAGCCTGTAATCTAAGCAGAGCAGGAGGCATCACAGCCTGTGGTGTCCAGGCGCACAATAGAGGAGTGTGCAGGTACCCCTGCCCCTACTCATGTACCCCCCACCCCAAGTCTTTAGGAACCCTGAGCTGAAGGAAATGCCTGCAAAAACTAACATTTTTTGAAGCTGTGTAACTTCCCCATAACTATTTTTATAACCCCCTGTGTCTTCCCCTATGGAACAGCAATAAAAGCCTTAACACAAAAGGTTTGTTTTAAACAAAATGTCCTTGTTTATGAGACAGCAAGGAAGGGAGTTTTTGGGGAACAAGGGACCCTTCCCAGCCTAACAGCATGTCCACAGGAAAGGGGCTTGGAGGATTGGGAAGCTGCTGGCCCAGGGTTGGGGAAAAGGAAGAACATGGGGGAGGAGATTGGCTTGGGATGAAGAAGAAACCTTGAGGTTGGCTGAAACACATGGTCCCTACTTCCTGTGGCAGACACCAACACCCCAAATGTACTGGTGCCATTTAGCTCAGGGAGAACAACATGCCTAGGGCTGTGCATGCCCTAGTGTGAAAACCAGATTGTTGCCCACAAAGTAGTAGCCCCAAGGAGAAGGGACTGTCTTTTTCACTGCTTTAACTTCAGTGCCTAGAATACTGATAAGTCTGGCATAGAACAAGCTGCCAATTAACACTTGTGAAATGAATTACTAAATGGAAAAAAGGTAACAAGGACTACTTCCTACTCTATGGGGCCCCTGTGGGATGGGATTATGTCTGGGACAGACATGGTATGATATTACTGCCTTCCCTACCTCAGTCTTGACCCCTCTTGAAAGGAAGAGGAGAGTATAGGAACACCTGCTGAACACAGAGTCCCATCCCTAGGAAAATATGCAAGGTACCTTAATGCACCATCATTCAGTCTTCACAAAGTTCATTCTATTTATTCTCACATAACTGATAAGGAAACTGGCTTAGCAAGATTCAGTGACTTGCTTAATTCAGAGCAGATGACAGAGATGGCCCTCATGCCCAAGTCAATCTGGGTGCAAGTCCTGAGCCAGGCTGCCTCTGCTCTCTTTCTCTGCCTGCCAGCTCCATCCCTTAGACCTTCCTGGGCCTCTTGCAGGAAGCCCTGCTGGGCCTCCCCACTCTCCAAGCTCACTCCCCTGTTCTTCAGGTGAGGACTGCCAGTGTGGCTGAGCCTCCTGCTCTGGTTTCTTGAGGAGTCCAATGAGCAGAGCTGCCAGAGGAAGGGGAATACCCGAAGACCTGACTCACCATGCGAAACTGGGCCTGGGCCTGCTGCAGCAGGCTCTCCTGTTCAGACTGGGCAATGCTGACGAAGATGCCAACTTCTGGGTTGAACTGTAGGATGCTGCCTTGCAGGCGGGCAATGAAGTGCCCGAAGCTGCGGATGCAGCAGATGCGCACCACTGTCTGTAGGGAGAAAGGAATCAGGCCCACTGTCCTGCCAGGACACTTCTACCCCTACCTCTTGCCCATCCTCCTTGCTGGCCTAGCTACCTTGACAGCAAGGGCTCCTTGGAAAGGTTTAGGATCTATAATATGGGAAAGAACACTAAGGCCTGGAACCTCTGACTGTCAGAAACCGAGTAAACCAGCAGTGCAAGTAGACTCCTCAGAGACCAGGACTCTGGCTGAGGAAAGTGCAAAGGGGTAGGCCAGAAGTGAGGAGACTTGGGTTCCAACACCATCTCTGCTCTCAGGGTCTTAGCTCCTCACATGTAAAATGAGGGGACTGCCCTAGATCAACATTTCTCAACTTTCTTCGGTCAGTAACCCTTCTTTTCCCTCCCTCAAATAAAAATCTTACTATGGGTTAGTGGAGTAACTCAAGTGGTAAGAGCACAAGCCTAGCAAATATGAGGCCCTGAGTTCAAACTCAGTGCCACCCAAAAAACCCCTAGAACTCTAATATACAAAACAGATTACAGCCAAGCTGCTCCAATTAGAAAGGAGACAGCCAGGAGGAAGGCAGAAGAGACTGGTGGCCTGTCTGCTTGACTTCCCTCTGCTGCCCCCAGATGGTGACAGATTCAAGGGTAAAATTTGCTGGCCTAAGTGGGCCACATGTTCCTTCCAACTCTAACTTTCTACAACTATATGATGTTCAGCTCAGAAGACTGGCCCAGAGAGGCTGATAAAGATTTCAAAACCTAAGCAAGGGGCAGTGGCTCATGCCTGTAATGCCAGCTACATGGGAGGTGCAGATCAGGAGAATTGTGGTTTGAAGCCAGGCTAGGCAAAGTTATTGATGCCTCATCTCAATCAACAAGCCAGGCATGGTGGTGCATGCCTGTCATCCTAGCTGCACAGGAAGCCACAAATAGGAGGATCTTGATCCAGACCAGGTCCAGGTCAGCCCCTGAAGGCAAAAATTTGAGACTCTATCTTAAAAATAACCTAATGGCTGACAGTGTGGCAGAGTGGATGCCCAGCAAACGTGAGGCCCTGAGTTCAACCCTTAGAACTACCAAAAAAGTCCAAACACAACAAAAACCCCTAAAAAGTCCAAAAGCAAAAAGAGATGGAGGTGTAGCTCAAGTGGTAGAATGTTTACCTAACAGCATAAGACCCCAAGTTCAAACCCCAGTGCCACTAGAAAAAAAACAAACAAAAACTCAAAACCTAAAAATTAACTTGGTCTGTCCCCTGTAGAAGGTAGAGAAAGAAGGGGTTCTACTATAGGGGAAACTACTAACAGCACACTAGAAGGATACCTGCCAAGGCAAGAAATGATCACAGCCTGAAGCCCTAAGGACTTCCCCTACCTGCATAGGGTGGCAGTGAGGGGAGAGGTGTGTCCTTGCCCTGAGTCCCTACTCTGCTGCTTTGTGTGACTAGCACACAGTGCTTGTGGGCTTGAGAAGGATCCCTCACCTCCTCTAAGGCACTGAGCAGGGGTCGATCTGTGTCAAAGTTGAAGCGTCTGTGAGCAGCCCGGAGAGGAGGCAGGTTGCGAAGTGCCAAGTCCTCTGGGAGCAGCAAGCTAGTGGGGAGGTCAGGCAGTTCACAACCTTCAAGAAGATCCTGGACCTCAGGACACAAGGTGAGGCCTAGGCAGAAAGAGGGCACATCAGACCACCTTCCCTGGGGAACTCCAGTCAAGGAGACACAACCCTTTCCACTGGCAATTACCAGCTGATGAGACAGGATACAACCATGGAACAAAAAAGGTAGGGAATGGACTGAGGGGAGGGAAAAGAGACAGACACACAAGGTCAGTCAGACAGAGTTCTAGGATATAATGGGCAGAACAACAAAGCAGGGAGGTAGAAAAAGGACAGCTCAGTCCTGGAAGTCTCCCTGACAGAACAATTACACTAGATGGAAATGAGAGCATGGACTCTAGAGGAATGAATAGTCCTTGGTGAGTCTCAGGAAGTAAGAGCAGATGGAGTTTTCCAGTTGGAAACTGGTACGAAGGGAGGAGATGATAGATATTCTCTGGAGGTCAAAGTCAATTTCCAGTGCCTATAGGCAGCAGGGCAACAGCAGTAACAGGCTTGGCTCTCAGACTCCTTTTACTCTGCTCTTGCCCACCTGGCTCCTTCCCCAGAGATGATAACTTCACAGACCAGGCCACCTGCACACAGTGGGACAGTGTTGGGATTGAAACTGGAGAGGCCTGGACCACACAATAATTGCTGTGTGCTAGGGAGGCTCAGCAGGGAGTCCCATTAACCTCCTTACCAAAAAGGCTGGTTTACAGGAGTGGAATGGGTTTGGTGGGGCCAACAAGGGAGAAGGAAGGGAGGGCAGTGCCTGGGCCCCACTTACCAGACTCTTGCAGTTCACCAGCAGCTGGCAAAAGATTTAGCAATACAGACAAACGGTTCCACAAACTTTGAGAGCTCTGGAAAGAGAGGGAAGAAGAGGCCATCAGTAAAGAACATTACTGGAAGAACAGAGCAGTGAGCAAGGCAAACACCATATTTAGGGGACCTACACATGGAGGGATTTGATAGGAAAATTAAGAGGCCAAGGGGCTCATGGAGGATTTCAAAACTAGGGGACTGGTCCTGTGAGGTTGAAAAAGTGGGGACTATGGAACCTTACTGAATTTATTCACCTGCTGATTGCGTCATGAATACAAGACAGTGAGATCACAGGAAGGGTTTCCTGGACCCAGATGTGCAAAAAAGCTGAGCGTTGGAAGGGATGGCTTCTTCATGTCTAGCAGAAATCTTTCCTTTCAGTCCTCCATGTGCCATACTAGAATAGCACTCCAGGCATGCAACCCAGCGTCTCTACCTTCCTCACAGCTACCCTAATGACTAATGTCTATATAACCAGGTGTTCTTAGACAGAAGCATACACCCAAGGGTGTGTATGACCCTGACCCAACTCTCTCATCTAGCTAGAGAAGGGAGGACCCAACAAGGAACAAGGTCTTTCATAGCAGGGCAAGTAGACTTTTGAAAGAAAGCCAGTCTGAATATAAGCCTCCAAAAATGAGAAGCTCAGGACTGAGGCTCTGAATCGAAGGAAGAAGCAGTAATAGAGGCTAAGGCTCCATCCAGCCCTTATGGTGGCAAATCTAACATCACTGGTTCTTGCTATATGACTCTTCCCCAATCAGCTGTCCCTGCCTAGAACACCTCAACCTTTCTCGCAAGTTCCATCTCTTCCATCTGGATTCTTTAGAATTTATTGAATTTGGCCCTCGAACACATACTTTCATCAACATTACTCATCATGGCAGGCATTACGCCCAGCATCGAGGATATAAAGCAGAATAAACAACTCTCTGTGTTCCCTGGCCACAGGCTCTTTGAGGGGAAAGGTCATGCATACTCTTTCCCTGTAAAAAGCATTAAGAACCCAGCACAAGTAGGTGCTTGACAGACCATCTGACAGCTGACCAGGGCTCCTCCTGGTTAAGAGGAGGGGATTCTCTTAATACCCCAACCCTGACAAAGGCAAAGGAAAGAGTGAACACCTGTGCACACACGATGATGAGATCAGGGTTGGTCCGAAGCCAGTCCAAGAAGACTTTCACAGCAGGAAGCAGGCCCTCGGCCGTCAGGACCTGGAGCTTCTCCTGGAGGCTGTGCTCATTGCGACAAGAGCGTCCACTGGACTCGCTCCCCTCGGACTCAGAGCCTTCCTCAGAGGCTGGGGTAGGGGAGAAGAGAGAGAACTGGGGTAAACAAGGACCAGCACTTGGTAATGATTCTCAGCACTATAAGGGAACCATGCTTCCACCCACCCCCACCTTCTTCTAAGGAATTCTGATATCAAAGAGGTGGGGAGTTCACTGTCAGATCCCTGCCCAATTTTTACAGGCCCACTAACTGGTTGCCTTAAAACCAAGAGCCTCAAGCTGGGCACTGGTGGCTCATGCCTGTAATCCTAGTTATTCAGGAGGCAGAGATCAGGATGATGACAGCTGGAGGCCAGTCAGGGCAAAAAAAAGAAAAAGCAAGACCCTATCTGGAAATAAGGAAGGAGGAGGAGAGAGGCCACTCAGGAAAAAGACTCTGGGGCTACACTATATGCAAAGGTAAGGCAACAAAGGCAGATAAGATGTCGGCTCACAAAGAGAAGTAGCTTCTCTCAGGTGAAGGATTACAGCATGGGGGTGTGTGCCAGAGCAGGAGGGTGTAGAGAGGCCCGGATACCTGGTTCTGAGGGCTTGTCCACATCCCCATTGACACATGGCCTGCGGCTGGCCAAGGTGTGAGGTTTGGTGGTGGGCTGGAGAAGCAGGTTGCTGAAGGTGGGAGCCAGTCGGAAGCAGCGCTTGGTCTGGAACATCTGGGTGGACATGGCTTGTAGATTGCTGGCAATGCTAGCCTCACTTGGGCCAAGAGGACCATTGAGGGAGTCAGAGGCCTCTGATCTGGCCCGAGGGGGCTCCAAAGCTGGGGACTGGGTCCCCTCCTCATCCTCCATATCTTCTAGGTCGGAACGAGACTCTTGACTATTCATTTCTGAGTCTGTCTCTGCATCAAAGGCTGTGCCTCCACCTTCCAGACTCTTGTCAGAGCCACTGTCCGAGCCCTCACTGGCCCGAGCTGAGTCACGGCTTGAGTCCGATTCAAAGCCTTCACTCAGGTCACTGTCATCACCAGCTTTGGGTGGGTGGTGGCGGCGGCGACGGAGGCAGGAGAGACGGGAGAACTTACGACTCTTTTTGCCCTCACCCCCTTGGGGTGCTGTGGAAGGGGGCTCAGGACCTGGCTCCTCCTCTTTCTCCAGTGGTTCCTTAGACTCTGGTTCATCTGTGGAAAGAGGAAAGTCAAGTGGAGCCTGGAGCCAAGAAAAAAATTGAGGCCTGACAGCTAAAATGTGCTCTCCAACACCATCTCCCCACCAAGTCTGAGTTCCCTTCCTTGTTTTCCATGCCAACCTTTCTACAGTCATGACCTCCCCCCATTCTCCAACCTGTGCCATCGCTCTGAAATGCCGGGACAGGGTTCTCGCCCTCTTCTAGCTCAGCCTGCAGCCGTATGTTGACATGGTTGACGAGGTGGGAGAAGAGAGCCAGGGTGAAGGCAATGGCTGCACTGTACTGCTTGGATCCTGAAGCCAGGAAAGCAGGCATTAGGGACCCAAGGCCCTGATGAGGAGTAAATATCAGTTCTAACCCCCATCCCACCTACTCTCAAGTCAACTAAGGATTTTTTTTGGCAGTACTAGGGTTCAAACTCAGGGCCTCACACTTGCTAGGCAGGCACTCTACGACCTGAGCCACTCCGCCAACCCCCATTTTGTGTTGTGTATTTTCAAGATACAGTCTTATGAACTATTTGCCTGGGGTGGCTTTGAACTTCAATCCTCCTGATCTCTGCCTCCTGAATAGCCTCCTGAATAGCTATTAGGAATAGCTAGCACCTGGCTTTCATCTAAGAATTAACTACCACTCAAAGCTTCTATGGTTAAAAAAAAAGATTTCCCTAGTCTCTGGACTATTATCTCTCCTATAATCTAGAATATATCCACTCATCCCATGCTCCTTCAGGTAAATGTACTTTCTTGTCCTAGTTCAAATGCCCTGATAACACAAGAGCATTCACATCAGCTCCCCACCCTCCTCATCTTCCTTCCACACTGCAATACACACACTTCTACCACAATGGTTTTCAGAACTGCCTAAGTGCCCGACATCAAGGTCTGAATTCTGCCTACATAATCAGCTAAGTATGTTAGCCCTCATCCTGGCCTGGATCCTGGCCAAGTATGTGCAAGTCTGTAGAACAGGGTATATTAGAGAGGGTGGGAGGGCCTGGCTATCTTTGCTCATTCACAGGAGGCTTCCTTGGTCTTACTCCTACAGCCAGGTGGTGACACAGGCAGTAAAGGGACTACTTGTGAAAAGAAGCAGGAGCTGCAGAAAAGGTCAGTAAGGACCCAGTAGGGAAGAAGAGGGACATGGGGAAGGTTACCTGCTCTCTTCAAGCTGTGCACACCCATAAGACAGATGATGATCATCTGAAAGATGAGCAGATCAGGGAGGAAAGCATATCCACTTTCATACTCTTCCTCATCCTCACTGGCCAAGCTGAGGTTAGGCGAGGAGGGCAGGTAGAAAAGACAGAGGTTGAAGTCCTCCAGGACTGACTGGCAAAGCGAGGTCAGCTCTGAGTCCACGGAGCTGAGAAGTAACAGGGGAGGCCAGTGATGGAGTTGGGGGAAGTGAAAAGTTGGCAATACAAAATTCAGATAAAAGGCTGGGAATGCCAGTCAGTGGGAGAGCACTTTGCTTAGCATGCACAAGGCCCTGGGTTCCCCAAAAACTCCTCCCCATACAGGCACATACATACACATCTCAAAAGGAGGGGTAAAATCATCGGAAAAATTAACAGATGAAGCAAAGGAAACCAAAAAGGGGTAGGGCAGTGCTGGACTGATCACAAAAGCAGACAAAATGGGGGTGCAGCTCATTCATAAAACATTGTCTAGCATGTACAAGGCCCTGGGTTCAATTCTTGATACTGAAAAAAACCCAAAACAATTCACAAAGCAAACAGCCTGAGAAGGGGTATGGGTAGGCTTCTTATACAGTCACCCCTTCAAAATCTATTAAGCATATACTCTGCGTAAGAGGGTAACCTGCCAGGAGGAAATGGGCAACAGAACTTTTGGGCAAAACACTGAATTTCCACAGAGGGCAGATTTTGACAGTCACTCCCTTGTAGACTTTATGTAAAAGAACAGTTGTATCTAGGGCTCATCCAATACAGTTCCTGCTCAAGCTACTTTGTACTCACCTGCTTTTGGGCTGCAGGAGACTCTGCAGGTACATAAAGTTCACCAGCAACCTCTTAATGTCTTTACATCTGAAATCAGAGGAGTCAAAGTTGAGTGGCTCCAGAGACCCTGTGGTCCTACTGCAGCAGTTGCAGAAAGATCCCTCCTCCCCTGGCCCCTCACCGCTTTTTGCTGGGAGAGAGTTTCCGAGTCTCACACTTCTTCAGCTGGTGGTACATTTTGGCTGCCTTGTCATAGAGCCGATTGAGGTTTCCATAGGCTCCCTCAAAAGACACTTCTGATTGGATGCTGAAGGAGATACAGGGGTGAGCTATTGAGTCTGGGTAGGGGAAGAGGCGGAAAGGGGAAATGTCATCTGCTAGGGCTTTAGGGAACAATGTTACTAGTAAATAGATTGCTCCAGTTTCAACTTCCTTGTACATACTCAGAGTGAAAGACTCCTGACCCATATTTACTGATAAAATACACACATATACAACTTCCAGATTAATCCAAGTAAAGATGTCTTGCTAGGTGCCAGTGGCTCATGCCTGTAATCCTAGCTACTTGGGAAGCTGAGATCAGCAGGATAGTAATTTGAAGTCAGTCCAGGCAAATAATTCATGAGACCCCCATCTCCAAAATAACCACAGCAATATGGGCTGGAGGTTAGGCTCAAGTGGTAGAGTGCCTGCTTGCAAGCACAAAGTCCTGAGTCCAAAGCCCCCACCCCCACAGTCTCACCCAAAAAAACAAATAAAAATTAAAGATGACATCTTACTCTTCTCTATATCTACAAAGGGAACAATTAATCCTACTCTATAGAACAAACTTAACTTACTATTGCTAAAACATATTATCCTAACTTTGTAACAGGTAGTACTGAATAAACATTTACTACAAGCAGATATATTTATCTGCATTATTAAATCACACTCAAAGAAAAATACTTACTGAGCAACCACTTATCAGGACATGGGGTACTCTAATATTATCCATATTTAAAAACAAGGAAATGGACCCTTCGAGTATAATGTCCAGTCACTTGGAAGAGCTGAGTGTCTCCAATTCTTTTTTCTGATGGTACTGGGGTTTGAGCTCAGTGCCTCATGCTTGCTTGCATTTAGCAATCACTCTACCAATTGACCCATGCCCCCAGTCTTTTAGTTTGTTTTTGTTAAGGTCTTGTACTTTTGCCCAAGACTTCAGACCTTGATCCTCCTACCTCCACCTCCTGGGTTCCTAGGATTAAAGGCGTATTACATCATGTCCAGCCCTCTCTGATCCAATTCTATCTCCCTACAAAACCAATGACCTCGGCACTAAGTGACATGCTTTGTGTTTTTCTCTGACAGTACTGGGGATTGAACTCAGGGCCTCTTACTTTCTGGGAAAGTGCTCTACTATTTTATTGTCATTGCTGTTGTTTTTTGGTGGTACAGGGTTTGAACTCTGGCCTCATACTTGCTGGAGCCCAGTGAGTTGCACTCTCCCAGTTGAGTCATTCCACCAGTCTTTTACATTGGGTATTTTCAAAATAGGGTCTCATGAACAATTTACCCGGACTAGCTTCAAACCATGATCTGCCTATCTCTGCCTCCTGAGTAGCTAGGATTATAGGCATGACCAATCCAGCTTACTTTTAGTTTTTTTTAGATGGTGTCTCCTGCTTTTGCCCAGGCCAGCCTTGAACTTGATCTTTTTACCTCCACTTCCTGAGTACTTGGGATTGAAGAAGTATACCACCATGCCTGGTTTGTTTTAGAGATAGGGTCTTGCCTGGGTTGGCCTCAAACTGTGATCCTCCTAGTTCTGCCTCTCAGTAGCTGGGATTACAGATAATTACCACCACACCAGCCTTGTCTTATTTATTTATTTTTTGGTGGGAATGGGATTTGAACTCAAGGCCTCATGTTTGCTAGGCAGGCTCTCTATTACTTCAGCCACTCCACCGCCCTTTATTGTATTGGGTATTTTCAAGATAGGGTCTTGGGTCTTGTGAATTATTTGCCCGGGGTTGGCCTTGAACCACAATATTCCTGATCTCTCCCCAAATAACTAGGATTACTGGAATGAGCCGCCAGCACTTGGCTTAGTTTTTTCTTTTTGGTGGGGCTGTTTGAACTCAGGGCTTCACACTTGCAAAGCAGGCATTTTATGGCTTGAGCCACATCTCCAATCTATTTTGGTTTTGGTTATTGTTATTTTTGGTGGGACTGGAGTTTGAACTCAGGGCTTCATGCTTGCTAGGCAGATGCTCTTACCTCACAAACCATACAGCCAGCCCATTTTTTGTGATGGGTTTTTTTGAGATAAGGTCTCATGAACCTTTGCTGGAGGCTAGCTTCCAATTCTTCTGATCTCTTGCTTCCTGAATAGCTAGGATTACTTACAGACTGCAGTTTGGTAACATTTTATCAATTGTATCAAATGTATTTCTTTCTTCAGGAAAACAGTAATCCACATGTATCATATGATAAGTATTTATTTTAGTTGCCAAGTGTCTATAAATACATATGGTTTTATGAAAAGCAGCTGTGTCAGGATCCCCCTGAGTGGACAGACCCTTAATCTGGCATTCCCCTATCTATTTCAGTGAGGAGCTGAAGAAGGAAGGAAAGGAAGACAGAAAAGAAAACAGGGGATATGGACATAAAAGTAGGGCTGGGGAAAGACCTGCCAAATACTCACCATCGCAGGTAGCAATACATGGCTTCCACGTTGTAATACTTGCTGCCTGCAAGGGTGCCCAGCTGGTTGAAGGGCATTCCTGGAGAGAGAAAGAATTCAATGCAATCTAAGGCCACAATTCTCACTCAAAGCTGCCAGGCCCAACCAATGCTAAGCATCAGAGAACTCATGGGGACAACAGCTGGGTCTTCAGGTGACAGTGGTATCTTAATGTTGTTTTTATACGGGTTACTAACCTCATCTCCTCTCAGTCTATTCCTGCCTGGTTTGCCAGGGTTTACCTGGATGCATGCAGTTCACTCCTTTGGCTTTCCACTGTAGCTCTTCCAAGGTTGATGAAACTCCCTGGAGCCCTCTCCTCTCTCCAAAGTCAGGTTTTTTTTGTTTGTTTGTTTGTTTTTAACCTCTGAGGTCTCTCCCACACTCTATATGCAAATTTCTATCTTTCCCTATAATAAAATCTTATCCCTCCTTCACTGCACCTCCTATGGGGATAGCTGACATTTGATCTCTTTTTATGAGATCTCGAGACAGGGAGCCAGCTTCTCCCCTCCTTCTCTTCTGCCTCCCTTCTTCTTAGTTAAGACTTTCCAACACATTCTGAATGGGCGCCACAAATGAAATACGAGAAAACCGAGGATTTCAAAGACCTGAGGAAAATGAGCAGAAGGCCTGTCTATAATCTCAATACCATCCTTCTCTTGGAAAATGCTAAATGTTGGGAGGCCTGAGCAAGGGTCCACTTACCAATCTGGGGAGCTACTGAAAGGGCTTGGTAGTAAAATCTCTCAGCTAGCAGCTCCGTGTCTACACCAGCCAATTCATTCTGATAGCGTGCTGTCGGAGAGGGAAGAGGAAGGGAAATAGGATGACTCCATGTTTTAGAAAACCCTCCCTCCTCAAGGGGAGCTCACTGTGAAGAATGTAACAAGAGCTTGGGAGAAAAGACTATGAGCTAGAAGGCAGGCAGTGGAGTCTCTGGCACAGTCCTAAATCTGCATGACTATGGGCAAATTCGTCAGTTCAAAATGTAAAGAATATTTAGCATTTGTAAACTAAACAGGATCTTCTTGATTATCTCTTTAATGAAGGGAAACTAAGCATATATAATTCTTGCAAATTATTTGTTGCATTTCTTGTCTGAAATGCAACTGGCCAATTCTAAAGACATGCTGGTCTGCCCTTGACTCTCTGCACATAAAGACCATGAGGACACCAGAAGTGGGCTAGGGACAAGAACAAGAGGAGTCCCCAGGTCAATAAAAAATAATGTGTCCAGTAGTCACACACCAGCAGCCTAATGAAGCACAGATGTCTATGAAGACCAGACTCAGAGGCCATAAAGCAAGAGAGCACATTTTCATCCTCAGAAATATTTGTAAGGCAGATAAGTGCTCCCTGAGCTCCTTTATGCTGAAATTCTTTATTCATCTAGAAGCCCATAAAGATAAAAGCCTGACCAAGTTAAAATGTCAACCACTTCTGAAACAGTGATCATCCCACTTCCTCAAAGCTCAAAGGAAGTTCCCCTTTCCCATATTCACTGATCCTCTCTAACTCATGAAAGAGGGGATCACTGTAAACAGACTGAAGGGAAAGTTATCAGAGGCTCATAAAAGGTGGTACCAACAAACAGAGGCAGATTGTGCTTTTCCTGTGGCCCTAAACAGAGGAAACGAAAGGTGCAGATTCTTACACAAATCCCCCAAGTACACCAGACATCGGTGGCATGCCATCTGTGCCCAATCCATCTCCTTTCCTGAGGCAGATACTGGCTTCTTGCATCCTGAAAGAGAGAAATAAATAAATAAATAAATAGA